GAGGCAAGGGCTCAAACATGTACGGCTGGAAGCCTTCTACACCAAACCAAGCTTCTGCCGCCCTGGCGTCCTCTTCCACAACATCTTCGTCCCCGCTTTCCTCCTCTAAATAAAAAATGTATGACAGAGGAGATTCATCTACGACCTCCGACACAAAACTCTCCTACTCTTGCATGTTTCTGCTGTCCATAGCGTTCCTTGACAGTGTCGTTTCTAAGTGACTAAGTTGCTAACTGGTTAGCAAGATGTATGAAGGTAAATATGTGCCAAAATGAAAAAACTTGTGAATTTAATGTGAAAACTTGAGAATGCAATGTGAGAATTTGTACCACAAAAATCTGAACTTGTATGCCAAAATGTTCTGCTGTAAAGAAAAACCGCACACACACAAACTGAATTTGAAGTTGCACTAAAAGACATATCAGGCAAGAACATGTAAAAAAAAATTACACTTGTCAGTCCAATCTTCACCTGAAGAGGATTTTCACTCAAATCTGATTTAAATGTGAATGCACAAAAAAACTATTTACTGGTGTGTTCATATAGTTTTACACAAATAAAATTACAGCTGACAAATGATTATTGATAGTTTATTTGTAATTATTATTTTTTTGCATATGTTAATCTTGCATTACAACCTCAATTTAGCCATTACAGCTTCTTGAATCTGCTGCTTCAAGAACACAAACGCGCTCTCGCGAGACACAGCACGTTGACACCGCGCTTTGACTTTTGTCACATTCCTTGCGAGATATTTGTGCCAAAACGAACTTGTGTTTGAAGATGTGAGAGCAAATGTGGTGGGGAAGGGGGGGGGGGTGTTCTATAGGCCAACCAATCGCAGGCTGCGTACTTGGGAGGACGCCTTTGGAGCACTTCCTGGCTTCTTTTTTTTTTTTTTTTAGTAGTTGAAGAAAAAGAAGAAGAAAGTCGGATTTTCTTGAAGTTACGGACAACCGAAAGCAGCAGCAGCGCCGGCAGTAGAGCGGAGAACACCTTTAAATGTAAGTAGTTTGTTTTTGCTTTTTTTAAATGAACATCTATTAAAATACATGACGGTAACAGAGCCACCGGGATGTGTAGGACCAGCTAAAGCTAAAGCTAACCTGTTGATACGTGATGTTCATCAACAATTAAAAGCCTTCATACAAATGTCACTATTTTTTATTTTAACCTACATCTTACTGTACTGATAGCCGTATCCCTCTCTAATCAGATCTATTTATTCTCAAACAGTTTATTACAAAGTATTAGAACTTTTAAAGCTTAATGCAGCTGAAGAAATAACATTAGTCCAGCTGTACTGGGCTGTTAATACTGTAAACGTTTTGTTTTAATACTCAATAATGTATAGTTAATTTACAGTACAGTATAATAAGGTTTAAAGTATAATTCACTTGAAGAACAATACCAGTGTAATTATACAGAACAGTCATTTAGCCTGTTGACTTAACAGAAATATGCTTTACATGTCATTTTGTTCCAGGGAGCAGACAGAGGAGTGGATAAAATGACCACCTTATCATCGGGGCCAAAAATACTGCTGCAGTCAGATGGAGCGAAGAGTTGAGGCAGAATTCCATCTACATGTTGCATTTCTATGTAAAAGTCACACAAGTTAAAAGAAGTCCTGTTCAAACACCAACGTACAAATATATAATAATTTGATCACATCAAATGATGCTCAGATGCCACTTTTTGTAAATCTCATATTTGTGATAGAAGTGATCCTTGTGTGGGACAACTTAAAAAAAAAAATACAAAGTATGTTCAGGTTTGGATAATGTACACACACACTATATATATATATATATATATATATATATATATATATGTGTGTTTGTGTGTGTGTGTGTAGGGAAATTACATCTTACAATTATTATATTCATGTTAATTTTGAGTAAGCTTAAAAAAGTAATCTCCAGGTTACCATTCCAAAGTCTTTTTCTGTAGAATTTCATTAATCCATCCAAATCATGAAACCTTCCTTTTTTCTAGCTTTAAAGAAACACTACAGAAAACAGGGGGTCAGTTGGAACCCTACTGCTGCCACCTGGCCCTGGTTTGTCCTCATGGATGAGGTATTAGGACAGAGGCCCCCTAATGCCCCACCTGTCCTAATTGCCTCCATCCCTGAGGACACAGCAGGGCCAGGTGCTGCAGAGGCTGAGCAGCACCAGGTTGACGATGAGGAAGAGAATGAGGATGAGAGGCCAGGAGAGAGGAGGGAAAGGAGCAAGAGAAGAAGGAGAGACGAGTTGGTGGATTTAATCAGGGAGGATATCAGATGGCAGAGGGAAGCGGGAAAGGATGGACAGATTATTTCATTTATTGGAGAGGATGGTGGACAGACATTATTATTTTTGGTGTTTTTTTTTTAACAAGTTCAGGTTATGTGTTGCTGTTATTAAATTAAATTATTAAATTGTTTATAAAAGTTATTGTTGTCGGTGTGTTCTTAAAGTCTTTTATCTGTTTCATCACTTCTTTATAATTTAAGTAAACTTAGAACAACTTCTCAGTGACATCAGTTTATTTTTAGAGAAGCAAGTATTTACAATAAACTATTAAAAACATTTTTAAGTATTGAAATTAGATCTTAAAATTAACTACTACAACTATTTACAGAAGATATACAGTAAATATTACTAGAGAACATATATATATATATATATATATATATATATATATATATATATATATATATATATATATATATATATATATATATATATATATATATATATATATATATATATATATACAATTGTGACTGAGCAGGAGTCCCTTGTGGTGCTGCTGGACTGGATGCGATGCCACACAGATGACCTTGGAGTCTTCTGACTGTGAGTGGGACATCATTTGGGGGGTGGGGGTGCCTCTCTCCACTGTTCACCACATCATCCATCAGGGTTTGCAGGGCTGACCCAATCGACAGCTGCCCCAATTGACGGCTGCCATGTTACTAAAAAAGTTTAAAATGACGAAGAAAATAATGACTTTACTAAAACTGTTTTCATTACCCTGAAATAACAGCTAAAATGTGATTAAAATGTGCTAAAATGTGACAATCTAAATGTAATGGTGGTCGGGTAGACCCTCCTCCAGGGGCAGACAGCTGGTCCCTCCATGGAGCACCACTGACTGCCTCAAACACGTTCTCCCCTCCTCATCCTCTGGCATGTCATCCTCTGGGGCGGTGATATCACCAGCTCCCAGGCAGATGTTGTGCAGGACAGCACATGCCGTTACCTGTAGAAAAAAAATAGACAAAAATATTTATTTTTATTCAGTCATCTATCTTTATTACATGATTTATTAGAAATTTAATTTTACTTAATCTAGATCCACTATTTAACTTATTTTTTCGTTTTTATATTTTTTTCCTGTATTATGTTTATATATATATATATATATATATATATATATATATATATATATATATATATATATATATATATATATATATATATATATACAGTAATTGCAAATAAAATCAGGCAGTAAGGGGATAACAATTTAGACAAAAAATGATTTATTTCTCAACAGTTTGGCTTCTCAACAAAACATTAGTAATGGTGAAAGTAGTTATTCAAGTCAGTTATTTACAGGGTTTGTACACATTTAAGTATTCAATTCAAATTACTAAAGTTACAAACAAATAAATTACAAACTTAAAAATAAATATAAAATTTGATATTTAAACATATTCATCAATCTGCTGACAAGCGTTTATTTAATAGCTGGTATATTCTGATCATTAGCAGGCCCTGTGGGTTAGAATAATAGCAGGTAGATCTTACCTCTCCACTGCGCACTGCCAGCCTGAGAAAAATCCGTCGCAGGTTTTGCTGCCGCCGAAGCCGTCAAAGCGACTCTCCTCCTCCAATAACAAGTAAATAAAAAAAAAATTCCATATATATTTTTTTGTTTTTGTTGTTTCTTTCCGTATTTCTCGAGCTGTCGGATTTTGTTTGGCGCTGTTTTTGGGGTAAACGTGATGACGTCGTGTCGTAACCAGGAAGTGCTCCAAAGGCGTCCTGCCAAGTACGCAGCCTGCGAATTGAGACGCAGCCTGTGATTGGTTGGCCTATAGAACACCCCCCCCCTTACCCCCCACATTTGCTCTCACATCTTCAGACACAAGTTCGTTTTGGCACAAATATCTCGCAAGGAATGTGACAAAAGTCAAAGCGCGGTGTCAACGTGCTGTGTCTCGCGAGAGCGCGTTTGTGTTCTTGAAGCAGCAGATTCAAGAAGCTGTAATGGCTAAATTGAGGTTGTAATGCAAGATTAACATATGCAAAAAAATAATAATTACAAATAAACTATCAATAATCATTTGTCAGCTGTAATTTTATTTGTGTAAAACTATATGAACACACCAGTAAATAGTTTTTTTGTGCATTCACATTTAAATCAGATTTGAGTGAAAATCCTCTTCAGGTGAAGATTGGACTGACAAGTGTAATTTTTTTTTACATGTTCTTGCCTGATATGTCTTTTAGTGCAACTTCAAATTCAGTTTGTGTGTGTGCGGTTTTTCTTTACAGCAGAACATTTTGGCATACAAGTTCAGATTTTTGTGGTACAAATTCTCACATTGCATTCTCAAGTTTTCACATTAAATTCACAAGTTCGTTCATTTTGGCACATATTTACCTTCATAAAGATGCTTCCAAGACACCGGCCACAACCAAACTTGCTTGCGAACCTTCACAAAAATTCTGCCCTCTTGATAAAGGACTAATCACATTCACTCGTGTAAAGTATGGAAATGCAAAGGTTGGAACAGCCGCTTTCCCTACGACTTTAAGAGTAAATCTAATTCCACTGGCAAATCATCTTATTTACCTACTCAAATTGAGGGTAAATACACTTAATATTTCTAGACTGCTTTTTTCCAGTATACCCCTCGAATCAATTAGATTTGTGGATTGTCTATAGGCAGTGACATGTACTGTTTTAGTTGATTTAAATGCTGTTATTTATTTTTCCAGCTTTCTTCAGTCACATTGGGACACAGAGGGGTAGTGGGGGAAGGCTGTCCCCCCCACAATAATCAAGTCCCCAAACCATGGACAAACAGGGGCCCATCACTACGCCAGGGAAAGCAAGTGGCCTAAAACCTCCCAGTAAAATAGCTCGTCCATCTGGAGTGCCATCTAAGACATCGCCATCGTCTGGTAAGAAGTTTTCCCTGCCGTCGTCATGCTGATCACACGCTGACTACCCCTTAACATGGTCGTTTAGACAGACTAGAAATCAGACTTTGTCCTGGTCTTGCCATCTTGTTTGTTTTTATTTATTTTAGGATCAACTGATTATCTTTGAAATAAAACTATTGACTAAATTAATCAGATAGAATGTAATACGATAAATTTTTTTTTAGTTTGAAATATCATTTAAATAAGTGAATCTTCATCAGCGTAGACAGAGTGTTTGCATAGTGTTGCATGAGATAAAGCAATGTTATTTTTAGATCATTCCTGCCATAGTGTGAGGGGATTTGAAGTAAAACATGAGTTTATTCAAATGACATGAAAAATAACAACAAATCATATTATATTGTAAGTTTACCAATTTTCTCTTGCAGGGGCTTCAAAGCCAGTTCCTCCTGAGAAGTCCTCCCCTGGTGTCACCTCCCCAACACAAGACGGCAGCATAGACTTTCAGATCGGCGACAGGGTCTGGGTGAACGGCAACAAGCCAGGCTATGTTCAGTTTATCGGGGGAACGCAGTTTGCTCCGGGCCAGTGGGCAGGCATCGTCCTGGATGAGACCATCGGCAAGAACGACGGGTCGGTGGCTGGCGTTCGCTACTTCCAGTGTGAGGATGGGCGGGGCATTTTCACACGGCCATCCAAGCTGTCCAAAACTGAGATACCAGAGAAGGAGGCGAACGGGGGGCAGGCGAGCCCAGCACAGGCAGCTTCAGCGACAAGCGAGGCTGCAACTACCGTCACTGCTGAGGCTACACCTCCTGCCTCTGCCTCAAACGGTAACAGACGTCTTTCTCTTTTATATCTGGCATCCTAAAGCACCTCAGACTAAAAAAAAACTTTTTTAGCGTGTTCTGTTTACTTAAAGTTTGAATAAACCTTAAACAACAGTGTTCTACCTTGAACCTTTTTCACATTTTCTCAACAAGCACACTATGCAACATTTGTCAGTTAATTAATGTGTTCCATAACGTTTTGAATGATTAAATGATTCATTTCAGGTTGAACAAAGGTATTCTCGGCCGCCCTGGTGGTCTGTGGGGGAAATACCGCACTTGCAATTGCAGGAGCACCGACCCGCACCCACAGGCTCAGAAGTCTCGCAAGAGTCGGTCTTGCTTTACGGCGAGAACTGCTACACCCCCCAGTTAAAAGCATGCTCGTTGCTAGCACAGTGGCGATCTTTGTGCAGTTATGCTACGTTCACACCAGACGCAGCAAAATCAGCAAAATCGCGTCTGCTGCTTCATTTTTGCTGCTTGTACCAGTTAGTTCTGACGCGCGGCTGAAGCAGCTTTGCTGCTCTGGCTGCGCGGTGCAAAAGTGTGTCTGACGCGCGTTGGGCGGAGCTTCACTATCCTTTCTCTGCCTTGCAGCTATATTTGCTTTGATCAGTGGGAATAAAGTAGTTTTAATATGTTTTTAAGTGAGAAAATACACCTGAAAACATAATCAGTGCCGTCAGTTCATTCAGATTACAATCCTGCCTTCAATATTTTTTCTGTCGAAGCCGCTCAGACCCCCACATACCAGAGGTGCGCCGACAGTAGGAATCCCTTCATCAGCAGCCTCTGGCCGGGTCGCCTCCTCACGGTTCACCGCGGCAGCTGGTGTTTTTCATCTAAATAATCCAAACTGCAGGCAGCAGGATAATAAAAGCCAACATATTCTGCCGGCAGATTTCTGCATTTTAAGTTCATTTAGGCGTCAATAAACTGTTTAAGCGGAGTGATCATGGCGCTCTGATCATCAGCGCTGTGTCTGTTTCTCTCCCTGCCAGCTCCCAGATCAGCTTCTCTGATTGGTTGACGCGGCGCGTCGAGCAGCAAAAATTAAATTTTTCCATCTTGAGCAGCAGCGCTTGCGGCGCGTCACGCGCGTCAGATGCTTAAACGCGCCAGACGCGCTGCGCCTGCTGCTCATAAACACGCCGCGGGACCTTTTGCTGCTCCTTGACGCGCGTCAACCATTGACTTTGCATGTAAACTCGCTGCTTCTCTCGTGCCAGCTGCGTCCAGTGTGAACGCAGCATTAGTCATTCGTTGCGTTCGCCTGTCTGCTAAGCTCAAAACAACCGCGCCTGGCTTGACGGATAAACCAGGAGAACAGCTGTGCATATTTACGACAGTGCACTTTTACTTTCGCCCTCTGGGGGGAGCCTCGCTGGAAAATCAACACCGGTTGCATAGTGTACCTTTAAGTTTTTCATCCAGATTTCTCCTGATTCAATGTTTTAGAGTCATGTTTATGTTTGGGACATAGCAGGAGAGAACACACTCATGCACAGGGAAGCTAGACTCGAGGCTAAAGTGGTCGAACCCCGGGCCTTCTCTTTGCAAGGCGACAGTACTACTAATTGTGCCACCGCAAAACCTCTCCATCTTTTTTGGGGAACTGTTACAGAACTCCAAACATGGCTCAGATGATCTAATCTGCAATTGCTTCCTTTTTCCTCTCTTTCAGCTCCCGTCACTGGTATAAAAACCAGCGGCGTAATTAACCGAATGGTGACATCCAGTGAGTCTGTGTCCAACCTGTCAGACCCAGACTCTATGAAGAAGATCAGAAGGGAGCTGAGGCTGGGAGACCGTGTTCTGGTGAGAAGTATATTAGATTGTCTTCATTTTGACCTAAAAACGTGTTGGATCTTTGTCCAGAAGGATCTCCATGTCTGTATAGTTTGGTTATAAAAGTCGTCTTACAGTAGTTGTGGAGGGTGACAGGAATTTGATTGGAAATTAAGAAGCTGTTCCTCAAAAAACCCTCCAGCACATCAAAGTATGAGACATTTTTTATTTATGCTGCAGTCAGATTGGGGACAAAACTTATTTTTGTGATTGCCTGATATTCATCTCTTTCTAGCAGGGAATTAAACCGGAAATTCAAAGATGAAAAAAATAAAAAAATAAATAAAGCATTACCCTCAACCCACTGTGTTCCATTTTGATTTTAAACCCAGTGGGAACTATTAAGAAAAGTCAAGTTATTACCAATTCTGCTACTTGGAAAAAAAGCTGATTCTGTTGTGCTTTAAGCCCCTCCACCCCAACTTGTAAGTAATAGAAATAAAAATGGTAAAATTTCATGCAAAACTTTTCATTTTTATAAATGTATGTCTCTTACTTTCAGTAGGGCCTTCATTGCTGCCTAAATCAGTCAGAAACACCAACCTACATTCACAACTTCAACTTTAATTCTTCTTCTATCCAACTGTATTTATTTATTCCAAACAATCTATTCTCTTAATTTTGTAGTGTTTTTCTTACCTGTGCTGCTTCCATTACATTTATGTGGTTGCTAAATATTTTTGTCCAGTCAGATTTCAGTGTGTTGCTATGCCAATCTAATCTGCCCAGGGCCTTCAGGAGCAGCAGCGCTGGCTGTTGTTACATTCACAATATTAGTGAGGAACATTTTCTTCAACCAATCAAATTTCAGATTTGCCCCACAGGCCCAGCTAGCGGGCCCATGCTACCCTCAGTATTTCCTGTCCTCTGATTGGTCAGTTAGAGCCAAGTTAAGCTAGCGACAATCTGCTTTTTATGTTCACTTTTGTTTTCAAAGACTTCCTGCACAAAGATATAGTGATCGATTTGTTTATAAATAATTTGCATCTCTGGTGAGTTTGATATATTTATTTATAAACTTATTTTCATGCTTTATGCCAGGGGTCTTCAACTTTTTCCAGACCAAGGACCCCAAATTGATGGGGTCCTTGATAATTATATATATTGTATGAAGTAGTGTTCTATCAAACTGGTCCTATAGTCATTCTATTACAGATGGAGTAATGTAACGAAAGTAATTTCTCCCTGGGATTATTAAAGTATTTCTGATTCTGATTCCTGGTTGATGGGACAGGTGTTGTGAATGAAACGGTGCCCAGCTTGAAAGAGCTCCTGTGTGTCGCTGAATGTGTGCATTGATGACTGAAAGACATCTTCTGCCTCCATTTATCTGTTTACCCCTGGTGTTTGTTATATGGACAGAATGAAAACCTGCAAATGGGTCATAAGACGCTTTGCTGGCCCCTTGGTCTTCATTATTTTTGGTATATTAGGTTTGTGTTTGTTTTTTTTTTTAAATAGAAGGCAATAGAATAGTGCATTTATCCCTGGGCTCTGCAACTTGTGGCTCCTTAGACCCTCGATAATGTATGATAATGGAGTAATAGAAACACAACAAATGCTGGTTGACATTTTCTCCAATGGCTAATTGCATTGAATTAACAAAATAAATGAACTCTAAATTTAACAGAAATATATACATTTTTATCGTATACAGTTCTTTTTTTTTAAAAACATTAATATTCCAAACATTTCAGCAACCCATTGAAAAGGTATTTTGGAAGTTTCTTTTCTTTATTTAAATTTCTTGATGAAAATTTCTTTTTAACTGTGTATTTGTTTTTTTTTTTATGACGTTATGTCATTTTTGCCGCTCTAAACAAGTTTTATAGACTTGAACTCAACTTTGTTTATCCCTTGGGATTACTCCTTCAGGGAAATTCTGGTTCCAGTAGCTTATCTAGAGTACAGAGGGTTAAAGCAAGATGCCAGTAAAGATAAAAATATGACAGACAATATAAAAAGGAATTTTTAGCTGGACTGAAGTCAGAATTGAGTCTTTGGAGCCCTGATCTATCCTTTCAGCCTATAAGGACCCCTCTTTCGTGGTATGTCAACCGGATGTTTGCTATTTAACAACTAACATTTGTTTTGGTGTGTTTTATTTGGGAGGTTGTCTCTTGTTTTCATATTTTTTAGGGGGTTTATTATGCTTCGTATTTTGCCTGGTAATGCTGGTACCTCACGGTATGAATTGCTTATTTTGAAATAAATTATTTAAAAAACAGAAAATCCATTTCAGTAATAGCATCCTTTATGCACAGGTTGGTGGTACGAAGGCAGGAGTGGTGCGTTTTCTCGGACAAACCGACTTCGCTAAGGGAGAGTGGTGCGGCGTGGAGCTGGATGAACCTCTGGGCAAGAATGATGGAGCTGTAGCTGGAGCCAGGTAGGGTTGTGGCAAATAATCGTTTTGGCGATGTGTCATGATATTCGGCTGCCAGATATAATATCGATCTTTTACTTCCTAGTATGGATTAAAAAAAAAAAAAACATGGTTACCTTAAACAATGAGGGGAGATGGGCTACCTCTGCACCAATACACTGGCAGAAAGCTCTGTGGAGCCCCATATCTGTATTTGAGGTGGTCACAGTGGAAGAAATGGACTCCAACTCCAAATAACATTGATATATATATAGATGATCAATATCTTCTGATGAACATATACAGCACTTGCTTTTTTATCTATTCATTGAATTTTGATAGCTGGGGAAAATATTGCAATATATAGTGACATTGCAATATCGTGATAATATCGTATCATGACTAGGGGTGTGCAAAATAATCGTGATGATGATGCATCGTGATTCTAATTTTCGTGATCTACTGCATCGATTCTTGATGCCAAGAATCGATTATTAATTTAAAAAAATGAATAAATAAAATTGCATGAATGGTTGGCGAACATCAGCCAAAAACAAGTGTAATACAACTTCCAGTCCAGTAGATGTCACTGCAAATGTGTTGACGCACGCTGCCTTGTGTCACAAGCATTTCCGGCCGTGGGAGTCATTCAACAACAAAACATGGAGGATAAAATATTGCAATGCATCGCAATAATTCAAGTATCGTGATACATCGTGATAGAATCGCATCGTGGCCTGTGAATCGTGATTCGAATTGAATCGTGACTTCTTTGGCAATACCCACCCCTAATCATGACCCAAGTATAGTGACACTTATCGATTCGCAACGGCCATGCCAATACTCACCCCTAGAGCCAAATGAATAACCCTGGGTCTACTTATGATCCAATTAAACATTCACTGATTAGAATCAATTTTCCTATTTTCTTTTAAACGTAGGGAGTATTTATTTAAGCCTAGTCGTAAATTGTAAATTAGTTTCTTCCAAGCAAGTCCAATAAGGTCAAAATCGTATAAATGTTTCAAATTTAAAACTGATAAATTCTGTATTATCAGCAAGATTTACACCTATGTCGAAACATTGTAGATTAGAGCGGTTAGCTTTTATCTGTGGAGCCAACAAGCTGCTTCTCTCCGCCCACAAATGTAATGTAAAACAGAATTAAACAACAAACACAAGTACCAACAGTGTACCTGAGCCTACAGCAGACTGACAGTTTGGGACATCTTGTCCCCCCCAGGTATTTCCAGTGCTTGCCCAGGTATGGCCTCTTTGCTCCCGTCCACAAAGTGACACGGATTGGCTTCCCCTGCACCACGCCGACCAAGGCGAAGAGCTCCCGGAGGAGGTCCACTCTCAAGAGGAGTCCAAGCGCTTCGTCCATCAGCTCCCTTAGCTCTGCCACCTCCTCCATCAGCGGCAAACCAAGCAGGGCAGGACTGGTAATGTTGGCATTAATCATTATCACAGATTTGATCCAAAGTATAAAGTTTCATATCTCAATGTTTGGATTGGGTTAAAAGCAACACAGTCTGCTTAAGAAAATAAATAATTGTGATTTTTTTTTACTTTGAGAAAAGATAAATTAATTATTTGTCTAACTTAAATATCAATAGAGACTTCTTTTCTAGATGAAACTTGGAAAAATGTGCAAAGATAATTGGATCAATTGGGTCTGTGAAATAGTTCTCTCCCTCTAGCTTCTTAGTAGCACCAAAATTAATCTTACGATGTTATATTTACTTTTTTTTTCTTTTTTTACCCCGTCCAACCTTTTACAAACCCACATGCTGAAATTTGTTTACTTTTTGTTTATCTTCCAGCTGACCGAAACATCTGTGCGCTACGCTCGGAAAATTTCAAGTACCACAGCGCTGCAGGAGGCCCTGAAGGAGAAGCAGCAGCACATCGAACAGCTGCTGCTAGAGAGGGACCTAGAGAGGTGCGAGGTCGCCAAAGCAACCAGCCGCGCGGGAGAGGTGCAACAGGAGATGGCCGTGCTGAGGAAAGGGCGGGATCAGGTGAGTTTTCTACAGTTAATGAAAAAAAGAATTTAATAAAAGCAGCTTGGGGTTAGTTAAAATGTAAACATGTGGCTCAGAGGTATGGAATAAGGTAAAGCTAAGACTATTACTGCTAGTTAATAGTAAATGAGTAGCAGCTTAGCAGTGAAATGAATATTCCCATTCCATAAAGTGCAGCAGTGATCAAATGTAAACAATGTGGCAGAAAAAAAAAACATGGTGCAAAAACACATTGATATGGAAATTCAGAGCATTGCAAAGACAAATATATATGGTGCAAACTTGCAGTGTTTTGGTTTGGTGGAATGGGGAATCATGTTTGTTTCAGTTTCTCAGAAAATACACAGTCCTTTAAAGAGAGAGAGAAAAACTACAATCTTTAAGAAAGAAACTATGTTCTGAAAAAGAGAAATAAATAAACTACAGTCTGAAAAAAGAAAGCAGAAAAAAAGAAACTACAATAAGAAAGAAAGAAACTACTGTCGAAAAAGATTACAGTCCGGAAAAAAGGAGGAAAAAGAAACAAGAGATTAAAAATAAATAAAAAACTACAGTCTGAAAAAAAAATAAGACAAACTATTGTCCAAAAAAATGAAACTTCAGTCTGAAAAACAAAAGATTAAAGAAACTACAGTATGGAAAAAAAGAGAAAAAGGAACCTAAAAAATAAAGGAAAAAATAAAAGAAAGAACTTAACTCTTTGCTGAGACCGTTATATGACCTAGTAGTGTTCCTCAGCCAGGTTAGGTAATCAGGGAGGTGTTTTATAGATACTGTTGAGGTCATTTTAAGCATGTTTGCTGATGCTGAAAGGCCTCTAGATGTTTGGCTCCTTCCATACTAACTGATTCATTAGTCTCAAATCATCAAACAACTTAAGATGTTTCATATTTTGTAAATTTATAGTCATGCTTCTACAAAGTGAACAGCAGTGGGCCGAGTATGCAACCTTGAGGTGTGCCAGGTCTCAGCATCATGGAGTTTATTTGTTCTTGTTTTTTTTTTCCCCAATCTGGATTAACCGTGGTCTTACAGTCTGTTGCCTTCAGTATTTAATGTTCTTTGTGCCATTGACTCCACTTTTATTTTGTATTTCACAGTATGCAGTGGAGATGGAGGCCAAGCTGGATCAGCTTCGCTCTCTGGTAGAGGCAGCTGATCGAGATAAAGTGGAGCTGCTCAACCAACTAGAAGAGGAGAAGAGGTAGGTCCTTCCTTCTGCCAAACTCATCAAAGTGGTTCGACGGGCTTATCTGCTGCCCTGTGTGCCACGGTTAGTCCCTAACTGAGTATAAAGTTTAGTTAGTTTAGTTTATTTTAAAAATCACTGCTTCATTACAAAAATCTCCCCAGGGGACATAATATAAAAAAGAAACCAAGCTTTAGATGGACCTCTTATTAAAATAAAAAGTTGCTTTTAAGAAAAAGTCCAGTCAGCAAGGAATAATCAATGGGTCATTATTTATACGTAAAACCAATATGTTCTCGGTGATTAAATTAATTTAGCGTTAATTGGTGAAAAAAATTAAATTTTTGCCCAATTATAGTAACCCCTCACTCCTGATATCTTCTGGCAGTGACGTCACGGTACTGTAAGCCTAGCAACATTCTCCCTGCATTACAAACAGAATCAATTGGAACTACTAGACACATCTGCAATCAACAACAATTATTGAAGATTTCCAGAGGACTTCACAATTGAAATTCACCAGATTTATAGTTAAACTGACAATGCCCCCGTGGGTAAAAGTGAAAAAAAAATTAGTTATTTCACCTTTCCGATTCCTGATCCTCAACGGACGGGTTCGTCGTTGGATTGTCAAATTGAAGAGGGAGGATTTGCCATCGAACTCCTGAGAAAAAGCACGTAATATGTAGCCAAAATTTGGAAGAAGAATGTTTTCAAGATGACTTGGATAAAAGCGCGTTGTGACAAATGCCAGATACAGAACTGGGACTTGATCAACAGCTGATACCGCATCGTGACGTCTCAAACCAGTAGGTGGCAGTAGTGTTCTTTGACAAACATGGATGCCTCCAGTAAAGCACATTCAAACGAAATTACTCTTAATTAAAAACACCTATCATTTATTTAACAGTATGTAATAATTACATATTTAAAGTACTTTTAGAAGTTTGAATTCTGAATGTGAGCGGACTTTTCCTTTAATATTCTTTACCAGATTTCCTGACTATTTTATTCTTATTTTTGACACTATTGTATGTTTTAACAGAAAAGTGGAGGACCTGCAGTTCCGTGTAGAGGAGGCTTGTATCACCAAAGGAGACCTTGAGGTATACATCCTTAAAATAAACAAATTTCACATTGCAATATATATATCAGACTTTTTCTAGAGGTCTGTGTTATCAGCTTTGTTTTTGTGGATCTCCACATGAAGTAACACTGAAGTAGATTTCCATCTTTCCTTTAAAAAATGAGTAAAACTGAACTTTTTCCTGTTCTTGCACTCTTTAAATCCTGCATTTCCATCTGCCCTGTTTATTTATTCATCTTGGAGTTTGGTGACTCTTCTCCTCAAATGTCTCTACTATCTTTAAAACTTCCTGTTCATCCATCATCTGTTCATCCACACATCACCATTCTTGTCTGCCTTCATCTTCAGCTTCGCTTGAACTCTTTGCACTTTTTTTGTTTTTATTCACAGCAGATATAAATAAGTACCTAAATCTGCTGGGATTCTATGCTGAATGTAAAATAAATTATTTCAATTCAGTAAATGAGCCGATAAGTGACCGTTACTGAGATCATAACAATAACCAAAGCTGTGAAATCTTCTGTCTCACTCGCTGCTCTTCTTTTTCAAGCATTCTCTCCTTGTGTTGCACAAAGCTGGCATGTCATTGCAGCGTTGGTGTTTGTTCTCCTTCTCTTCCTGCTCTCTCTTACTAACAGACGCAGACCAGGCTGGAGCATGCCCACATAAAGGAGCTTGAGCAGAGCCTGCTCTTTGAAAAGACCAAAGCTGAAAAACTCCAGAGGGATTTAGAGGACACTAGGGTAATGCAGTCCCACACCAGGGCTGAGTCACGGCCTTTTTTTCCCCCCACTGGGTTTAATAATGATGCACCGTGAATATTAAGAGAAGCGCACCGCTGAGGCCCTGTGGAAATATTCCACAGCTGTGGCGCTGAGACATAACAGCTCATCTGCATGTAGCTTCCCTTAGAAGCCAGGCTTTCCTAAACAATATGCATGCGTGCATGAGTTCAACTGATATTGTTTGGAGATACCTGCCAGCCTAGAATACGGCTGGTGACATTTTCTTCTTGCCAACAAATCCCACAGAAGAACTTAACTAACAGATTAATTAATTTGGCTTTAATTCAGCTTTGAACAATGATTCTAATCCCACAAAAAGGATTATTTTTTGGGGAATTTTTAGTCTAATTCACAATCTCCATTTTTTAAACTACTTTTTAAGCACTTCAACATGAAAAGATATAAGCGCAGTGGTCAGATGTTATTCTACCCTGCCTACTATAGGAAGTATTTAATTATTTAGATATATAGTGATGCCATGTTGCCTGTGTGAAATATTAGACTCTTTAAAACGGTATTTTACTAATTTACAACCATGATTAAATTCTGCTTAATTCAAACTTTTTTTTTTTCTCTTACATGATGTGAAGAAAGACAGATTTTTAGTGTTTTAGTAGGGTCTTATATTTTTAGTCAGAGCTAGTTAAGTATGGAGGATGAGCTCTACTATATTTAAAAATAAATACAGAAATAAATGAATAAATAAATAAATAAGCATACAATTAAATGCCCCCAAAAAACAAATAAATGTAGGTAGAAATTAAATTATACAGTGAGACATAAATTTATTATTATTTATTTCTGTATTTTTAAATATGGTAGAGCTGGTCCTCCATAGTTAAGCTTCAAAAGAAGGACTTAAAAGTTTTCCTAAGGAGAAGGCTTTGCAACAGAGAAAAAGAAGAAAACAAAGTGGGACTTGTTAGCTTTAAGATAAATGTGGAAGACATTCTTTATGCTTTAAAAACTTTGACCTGTCGCTGCTTACAGATAGGTTCTCTGATTAGGGTGGTATTTTATTCTGAAAATACCAAAACACAGGCAACGTTGATTTGTTTTGGGTTTTTTATGTACTACTGGGCAACATCTTTATGGTTAAACCTCAGAAAATCTCTTTTTAAATAGAAAAAAATGAAACAGTATTTATTTTTTTTTCTAATATACACATAGCTAATTGAATGTAATTTATCTGTGACATTTTATCTGGGTTGTTAGGCTAAAATTAGTAAAAAATCTTGGATCATGTTTAAAAAATCTTGGATCCTGTTTCTTAAGCTATTATGTTACTACATGTTAAAAAAAGCTTTCCTAAAAATAATAGATAAAAAACTAGCAGTATTTCTTGTACTTCCTGATGTTCTTGTCACACTGTGAAAGTTTATTCTTTTTCCGTCAGCTCAGGGCTAACAGCGCTGTGTAAAAAGCAGACATTTTTGTTCTTCAAATGATCACGTTCTTTCTCGCACTTGTTATTTAAAACTATAGTTAAGTGTCAAAAAAGATTAAGCGTTAAGCACGCATAAAGCCAAAATAAAAACATATGTGATAAACGAAAATGTAAATTGCATTTAGGATGCTGTAATCAATAAAGGGATCAAGTCCTCCAAACCTCACCTGGATGGTGGTGTGAGGGGATAGAAGAAGAAGAAGAATCTCCAATAATGCGAGATGCTGGCAATCTATCATAGGAAAAAAAACGTTTAGTTTTTCCTGTAAATGACAGTTGAGCCAACTGCTCACAGATTCAGCTTTAATTATAGAAGTTATGTCATTGACATGTGAATTCTCTCTCTTAGCTTCCTCTTTGACGGTTACTCTGTGTTGGGCTATCTCCCAATCTGTTTTTTTTTTTTTTTTTTACTGAATTGAGGTTAGGTTTTAAGCAGTCATCGTGTTGCGATGGATTTAAATGTACTTTTATTTTGATCTGGACTCAGTTTTGATTTCTCCCTCTGGATGGGTTCTTGGACCCTGGGATGTTTTATTACCTTGGGTTGTTATAGAGAAATAGATGCTAAATCTAGACTGAGTTTCTTTCCAGATCGAAAGAAAACAGCAAGAATCAAAATAGCCACTTCTGACCATTTGGATGTTTTTGCGCTGATTTAATTTCCAGAAAATAGTTTGAAGGTCTCTACTCGCATATTTGCTGGATCTTTTCATAAAAGTTTAGAGTTGCCTCTTGGCTTTAAAAAAAAAAAAAAACATCTTTGAAACAACAGCTGGATGAACAGGAAGACTAATGTATGACGAGACAGAAAAGACTGCTTATACAGAGCCATGCAGAAGCATTAATAGCTGTGAGTTTTTCACAGTTTGGGATTTTATGAGATAGATACATATTGTGCAGTAGGAGAAAAATGATTCTTGGTTTTATTATTTTTAGAAATAAAAATCTGACAAGTGTGGCATGCATTTGTATTGACCCCGTCTGTTAAAACTTTGTAAACTATGATTTTAATTGAAGATATTGAGGTATGTAGTTACCAGCTTTGCATAATTTCCTATTTCTTTCAATCTTTTCTCTGTGTTGGGAGGCGATGTTCATTTCTCGCCTCAATATGCAAACTAAAAGACTGACCCAGTGAAATGCTCCTCTGATCCACATGCAGCTGGTTTCATGCGGTAGAAAAAAATCTACTCTGACCATCAGGTCGACTGACCAGCCATTTGAGAATCCTTCTGAACCTCCAAATGTTCCTCTCTGTCTGGTTGGAGACGTTAGCATCTGTTCACTTGCTTGTTGGGTGTCGATTCTGAAGTCTGCTGGGTTCATCTCACACATATGCGGTGGTGGGCGAAGTAATCAACAGTAGTACTTGAGTAAAATTATTGATACTTGTATTCAAATCTTACTCAACTACAAGTAAAAATTACTCAGTCAATAATCTACTCAAGTAAAAGTATTGAAATAAATCAAATCAAAGTTTATTTATATAGCGCTTTACAAAAAACACCAGGAAGACCAAAGTGCTTCAGAGAAAAATGAAAACATTGCAAAAAAAAAAAATCATACTAAAAACATAAGCATAAAACAATGTGTCCTAAGTATAAAAAAAATAGTCTTTAATCTGGACTTAAAAAGGTACTTAAAAGGTCTTTAAAAAAATACTCACTTTTGAAAATAATTATTCAAAAGTAGGTGCATTTTAAAGTATCTAAGATTTCAAAAAAATATACAAATTACATTTCTGTATAATTTTCAGAGTAATTTAAAAAAACCTTGTAACTTTCAGAAACCCCCTGATGTATTGATGCGTAGAACCACCTGCTGCAAATTGCTAACCACCTATAAAGAACTTCAGCACAAAAACTATTTTGATTATTATTCCTTATTTAAAAACAAATCAAAAAGGTTACTTGATTTCTGTTAAACTTTCATTATGGAATAGAGTTTAAAGGTCAGCCTAGTGAACAACTAACGCCTTAATAAAACGTATAATCTACCAATAATATCTGCCCTGAGTTTCTCATATCTGTGGAATGTTGTTTAAATCTCTAAAACAGTGGTGTGTTAATTCAGTCCTAAGGGCTGCTAGCTTACATGTTGATATTGCATTTCAAGAAGGAAAACTAAACAGTGGATTAAAAAAGCTAGGCTGCATCAAAATGAACAAGTAACTAGCAGCTTCCTAGAGATGGAGATAGAGCAGAAAGTATAATATTGGACTTTAAAATCTAGTGGCGTGAAACTATTAGTAACCCCCGAAAAAAATTACTCAAGTGAAGATACTGAAAAAAACTTTTTAAGTACAGTCACCAACTAAATGTACTTTGATACTTTCCACCACTGCATACATGTCAAATTTGGAGGTAATTGTGTTTAAAATCCCAGTTTCCCTGGCCTTTACTCTAGGGTGACCAGACGTCCCCGATTTCCGGGGACTGTCCCCGTTTTGGACCACCTGTCCCCGGCTAAAGCTGTCCCCGGAAATGTCCCCGATTTTACCGAGGCGAAAAATGTTGCGTGTAGACTGTTATTACAGTAGAGCTGTTGCGCGCAAAAATAGGTATTACGGTAGCTGGTTGCGCTGCTGATAACATAAAGATAAGGATCAGAGCGCACCACTAGAAGGGCGGTAATGATCCTTTTGGATGTCAGCTGCCATTAAAAGACAAAGAGGAAGAAGAGCGCATCACTTTTAAAACAGAAGAAGAAGAAGAAGTGGAAGTTCGTTTTTTACAACCTGTGGCAACTGATGAGGAGCTACGCTGAGTGATGGTAAGTGTGTTAATCAATTAATTTTATTCTGATCGGGCTGATCTTGTGATAAATGTTTGGTTTGTGTCCAGGTTAAAACAGTAATAAAAAGTAAGACAAGACCACGAGTTGAGCATGAGTAAAAGACGCTGGGTTAAAATGTAGCAAAATGATTGAAAACTCCTTGTAAGGCGCTAATCTGGTACGCTGGTTCTCCAGGGATCAACAAGGGTTTGTATAAAGATGTTTTAGAATGGATAGGTGACCTTTAGTTTATATTTCAGATAGTTATTATAAGTAGAGTTATTTCAATTTGTTTTGATGATTTATGGTTGTGATTTATGAGCATAGACTTCCAGTTTTTGTTGTGCTTTTTTACTGCTCAGTTTGGATATATATGAAAGTTCCTTGTGAAAAAATAGGAGTCAGTAACAGGAGAACTGAATAAGACAAGATCTACATGATTTGAGAATGATGGAGGAAGAGATAACCACCTGTTTAATGTTCATTTATTATGTGGTTTTTGCTTGTAGCTCCTAATATTGTGGTAATTAGCATTTTTAGTATTTAGATGAGATATTAATAATAATAAGTTTTCATGTTGCACATCCTAATTTTTTTGGAGGTGATTTTGATTGTATAATGTCTCTGTTTTAGAATAATGTAAGATTGATGCTGGAGGAGTGAGGAAGAAGATAGAAAGACAGAAAGGAGATTGAATGAGAGAGGAGGAAACTAGGAACTCTGATAGAAAAAA